AGTTGCCGTGGTGAGATTTAAATATTTCCTGTGATGCCCCTGTATACTTACCCAGAAGAATGTGCAAACAAACATTAAAAACATTAAACAAACAAACATTAAAAACAAGCTAATCTTACAAGTTATCCATCAGACATAAAGTATTTACCATTTGCCACAGCATAAATGTTATGGATTGATATTTAGAACTGAGTTAAAAGATTTCAGAATAGATTGTTTTGTCTATAATTATTACACTGATATTTTGTAACTATAAATCTCAAAATATTCTGCAAACTATAACTATGCCTACTTTACAGATAGAGAATCTGAAATAAAAAAAAAAAAAAACAGCTGAAATAGCATAAATAATCACACAAATTGTTTACCAGAGAATCAAATTTTAACATTCATATCACTGGTGGTGTCCCAGTATTTTGAGGTATTACTGCCTCTGCTTCTTAAGTACAGTAAGAGTTCTTCTCTTAGGTATATGAAGGATGAGACCTATATAAAGTTTAAGTATTTTGAAAAATGTTATATATATTGAAATGAGTACTTCACAGAGCCCTGTTAGGGTATTCAGTCATGCTCTAAATCATAAAACAGCCAGCAGTCATTCTCCACACTTCATAGACTGCAGCCTGTTGAAACCTGAATTATCTCTTATATGAAATAATGTTTAGGATGTCACGTGATATATGCAGGGTAAACACATATATGTCAGGAGTAATGCCTTTTCTTATAATGAAGTTGAGGAAATTTGGTATTTACATACAGTAATAGATTCAGAACTGTAAATTTCTGTCCTGCAAACATTTGAGCTGAGTTACACACTCCAGTAAAGTCACCCACCTGTTTTCAAAATTAGCTAAATCGGTAGTTTCCAAAGTTGACTTGTCTGGATAGTAGACACAGCCACAGCAGATGCTAGAATAGCAGCTCCCAGCTATATGTAGGACTGTGCACTTCAGCATGAAGAGCTGTTCTGTTCCCATGACAATTGAAATGCAGAATGTGCATAACAGTTTCAGAATACCCCATCACTAATCAGCAGTATGGTTTAAATTAAAAGCACTTGCACTGTATGTGCTTGGTATTTATTGGGACTGCTATGCTCTGTATACATCATTAAGAGAAACTGTACAGATGGGATTTTAAAAGACTTAGATAATTATATGAATGTTAATTAGAGCTTTGTCTAGTCAGGCTAAGATAGGAAATAAAGACATCATCAAAACACATTTTTCAAAATATTATATACTGTATTACCTGTAAAAATCAGCACATTCACGAAGGTCTGTTAAGGATTATTTTTGAATTGAGTGGTTTAGGTACAGGTGTTAAATAAATTGTCAGTAGTGAAACAAATCAGGAAAGATTCCTGTAGGTTATAATTTGTGACTGAAAACACTATAAATAATTGAAATTCCCTTCATTTTTCATCAAACAAACAAACAAAACAACAAAGAAACAGAAAATAGGCAACTGCAGCTTGCAAATAGAAATTAATGTCCACACAAGAAAAAACAGGGATAGCTGTCCCTCTGGCTTAACTACATAGGTGGCTAAAGCCAGAAAATGTGTGAAATGACCCCACAGTTGACAATCTACGTTTTCCAGCAAACCTTGGCAGATGGGTATTAAAACTTCTGCTCATCTCAGCTCTTACTCCTGAAGTTGTAAAAATTCTGTACGAGTACAATGCACTGTAAAACTGTATGTTTGTGAAAGTCACTGCTTACTCAAAGATCAGAGACCAAGTGTCCTGATTTTTGTTTTTGCCAAATTTCTTAGGCATTACAGAACCAATCAGACAATGAGGAGAGTTCTTTTTTGTTCACATTCAGTTCTTATCAATAAGGTAATCAGGAAGTATTTCAGTTCAAAGCTTAAACAACATAAAAGCATACAGACAAAGAAGTGTTGGAAAGGAAGTAACATGCCCTTATACTTAGCATTTGCCCACTTGTCACTCTTAAATTCTCATCTGCTTTTCAAATGTAGTGTAATCTAATTTTTATGCATACTGTATGCTCACACAGACAATTTCCTCATTTCAGAATATGTTGTTTGGTAAAGGCTTTTGTACTTTTCCTTAACCTGTTTCAGAAATAGCACTGTCACCATTTGTCGCAGTAATATACAGCATGATGGAAATTGACATTTTTCTATGCAGAAATAAAAAGAATATTGGTTTTATCAAAGACTGAATCCCCCCTTTCCCTCCAGTTAGATTTGAATTTGGTCACTTCAGGGCTTACTGTGTAGGATGATTTTAAGCAATGGTCCCAGTGGTTGCAGGCTCTATCACCTTATAATTGACCATGACAGGAATTATATGTCCAAAGCCAAGGGGTAGAGTGAATAGCATATGTCAGGGTCAATTACAAGGTGGAAGACCCTGCAACAAAAAAGACTGTACTGATTAGAGCATGTTGTTGGCATGGGAGCTGACACTTCAATGTTATTTCAAAGGACACTGTCAAATCCACCCTTCCTTGAGGTCTCAAAATCAGAGGCATATTATGTCAGTCATTTATGCTACAATGTAATAAAGTTCTGTTGGATGCTGGAAGTTAAAACTGATTTGTTGCTTTCCTTGCAGTGATAAAATGTTTTAACTTTCAAAGTTAAGCTTGCTATTTTCCTAATTAGGATATACTAGTTCTCCATACTTGTTAGACCAATTGTCCCAAGAAAACGCTTACTGTAAGACGAAAACAGTTTGAATGCATCACAGTTAAAAACTGTTTTGATTTTTTAAGTTAACATTATTTGTTCTGGCACAATTGAACACAATAGGAACAGTGGAGTACAAAGAAAATAGTTCTTTTTATTACTTAAAGCTATGTTATAAATATTTTATGACATGGGAAAATTTTTGTAGTAAAACAAATGAGCCAAAAAAAGCTGCTGTTTGCTTATTCTCCTGAAACTTCAGCAGTTTTAGCCTATTCAAATGTTCTTAGTCAGTGATGAACTGCAGCACCATTTAATAAATGAGTAATCATCCCAAATTATCTATCAGCACAATAAGATGCTGCTGTTCAGTTTTAGATTTCATTACACAAGTTCAATTTCCTGATTCCTTTCTTTAAAGCTGTTTCTTTAAACTTTTGCGTCTTTTTTAAAAATAGACCAGTCATTTCTGCCTACACGTGATGATAGAGAAGGTACTGGAGCTTAATTTCACTAACTTGACAGCTAATTTCTCCCTGTTCTCAAGGGTTATTACTCTGACCACATTTTTCCAAGGTATTTTGTAGCTATCAAATATATGGCTAATTCTCAATAAGTTAATGCCTGTGGTTACAGAGTCAAAGTTGTTGGATAACACTTGTTACAAGGATTGCTGAATCTAAAGAATCTTCTCATCCTCTAGAACAGTTAATGAGAGATAATAGATTTTAGTACATAGAAATGCTGCAAAATTTCTATTTTCAGAGTCTTCATTGGCAATTAATGAAACTTCACTGGAAATACATCATCTTATATAACAGAAACTTTGTTTTGAAAATTGAACATGTAATTCTTCACCATATAAATGCATCTCTGATCTACATTTGTAACAATGTAACATTGGAAGAGCTCTCACACTTGTTTTGTATTTTAAAGTGTTATGCAAATTTTAAAATTGAAATGCTTATTTCTAAAAAATCCTTTTTCTTTTCTCCACAAGTGGGAAAATGAGGATTATTTAACCTGTAAATACTTTTCCATCACAATAGAAATTAAAATAAATCAGAATACAAACTTCTACTGGCTTTTCGTAAAGGTAATCAGATATTTTTTCCCCATTGAAAGTACTAAAGCAGTTCATTTCAAGGAGAAAAAACAGTAAAATCCCACGAGTTAAAAAGAACAGGAAAAATAAAGGCAAATGGAGGATTTTGCCAGTCTCACTTGACAGTTTCCCTTGGTGGTAATTACTGTTAGTAGTTTAACTAATAAAATAAAAATTTTGAACACTGAAAACAGATCTACTCAAGGGGAAAAACTACTCAGCTTCTGATGAATACAAATTTTAACTTGTCTGGTTTCTTCTGGAAACTGAAACAGAATGGTCATTTTCATGAAGCAATACATCAAAAGGTTAATTTTTGTTTTGACTCGCTATAGATTGGTAGCTTGATTAATAAAAAGGTAGGAGTTTATCAAAAGCTTGAAAAAAGTGTCATCATATACATACCTTTACTTATTAGTAAAGAACAGTGGTTACAGTGGTTAATAAATACAGGTCTGCCACTCTGCTTGAAAGCTAAAGGATGAAGGAAAGTTGCTGAATTACATAGTTAAGAAAAATAGGTCAAATTATCCTGTAAAATGACAATCTTTATCAAAATTAGGAACTATAGGATTAGCTGTATATATTTTTAGTAGCGTTGATATAGATAAAGCACTTAACAGCAAGAAGTCAGTAGGTCTGATAAAAGTCAGTGTTCATGTGCAGTGCAGATGGTGAAGACCAGATCTGAGTGAATGGCTGGAGATAGATGTCTGAAGTCACTGCCTAAAAATAAGTGAACAGTATGATATAGCGTTCAAACTAATCTCAGTAGGGTGCATAATCTCAGGCATAATACCTTAGTAGCACGATTATACAGAAATGTAGCAATTCAGCAAAGTAAGTTATATTTGCTGAACTTGAAACGAAGACAGAGTGATCCTGAGTTCTTAGATGAGGAGATACACATTTCATAGTACATTAGTACAGCATATTCTTCCACTCTAGAAGCTTTTTACCCCAAAAATAACTTCAGTGCATCTCACAGAAGAGTTGATAATATCCTGTTAACGGGAAAGTAAGTGGAAATTCAGGAAAGTTGTCATTGGCAGTGTATTGGAACTGCTGAATCACAGCCTGAACCACTAATTGAGCACCTGGGGAAAGGACTTGGTCAGCCCTAGGAGCACATGTGAAGGCAATTCACCTGTGTAACCGGAAGGGGTGGAACCTGGCTCCACCTCTTAGACCCCCATTTAATGGCTGACTGCCACTCTGGAAGGATCTCTGGTTGGAGATCCCTTGCTCATGGGGTCCTTTCTGCAAGTCTAGATATTTGGAGATGGGTGAGCACATGCTTATGCTCCTGTGAAATACTATTCTATCTGCACTGGTCACTTTGTTGTTACATTTTTGTGTCACCCTGCCACTGTGCTAGTCTTTCCAATTGTAACAGGCAAGAAGCTGAAGAATCTCTACAGAGAATTCCTTAGCCTCTCTTAGAAAGAGATACGTATTCTCTTAAAATCTAAAATAATATTTCTGTAGTAACAACTTCAGGCATTAGCAATGGTAATAATGCTGCCACCTGGTACAGGAGGTAAACCCTTCTGGCTACGGGTGGGTCATAGGGGAGCACCCATGATAAATATAAGATAAATAGTACAGATGGCTACTCCAGAGCTCTCACAGGGGCTTAGCTTGGCAAGTAGAGGAAGCAGTTTTTCAAAATCCTTACTTTAAAATGGAAATATTCTTCTAATGCTATGTCTTCTTTATATATAGAATTCCGTTACTGGTGATTATAATACGGAGCCTTTTAATTAAGAACTACAGCAGTTCACCTTTAACTGCCAGTCACTGGATAATTGGCCCTTTTCTAATAGGCACTGCAGCTCAGGTATGCTAAAGTGGCTGTTTCTCAGAATAACTTGCTGAAAGTAAGTTATTTTTGGAACTCATTTATAAGATAACTTAATTAACTATTCCAAGTCGTTAGGGATACTGCATTGCAATTTTTAATCCTCTGTCAGGTTCCTCCAATAATATTAATTCATTATTATTATTTTCAACTTTCTAGGCAGAAAATGGTGAGAGAGAATCATGGAGCCATCACTGGTTTTTCTGTACAAACTAGCTAATACTTCTCCAAGAAGAAAGGAAGCTTTGGTGAATTTCTTGCTTCAGCTACTGCAAAAGTATAATAGAATGTCTTGGGCAACCACAGATGATGCAAAGCCTTTCGTCCACTGCCATATGGCAAAACATTTTAAAAGCACCAGAGCTATTTCATCAGGTGGATGAGACTGAAAAGATTTACCTACTGAATATGTTTCAAGTTGAAACTAGCGCCCTCCTGGGTAAAATGTAATTTGTTTCAGTTTCACTTTATTAATTTGCTATTGACATTTCTCACATGCTGAATAGGCTTTTTACTTGTGCAAATAATTAGTGATATCTTCAAAAAAATTCCAGTCTTGAGAGCAAATGAAGTAGGCTTTAGTCCTGTAGTGTAACTTCTAGTTCAAACAAGTTGGGAAATTTGTTTTTTGAAAGCTGTAAAATTGAGTGCAATGGAACCATCTGCTGAAAAAGAAACAGCATTGTGTCATTTAGATAATAATGGACTTATGAGAAAGAGACTTCAGAATTATTCTGAATTAAGATCTTTCCAGAGCTGCTAACAATGATACTGAGGAGTCAATATCTTTACAAGTCTTCAAATTTGTTATAATTTTATGTGATTAAAAGTATTGATTTTATAGCATCTGCATGTTCTAAAGTAGAAAAACGTATGTATTTTTTACATTTCATGTATTGTTCTTAAATATAGTGAATAAGCATCTTTTAGAAGTTCACAAATATTAGCTGAATTATTTTTTTTAATAACAAAAATATTTTAACAGAAAAGACAGGAGGTAAGGTATGATAAAATATCCAACCACATTTTTTCCCAGTAAATCAAATACCTTTACTCTACCTTCTTTTACAGTTCCTCAGAGGTGCAGTGATCTTCTGCCAGAACATTATACAATGTTGCTTGATACAATTTTTTAATCTCCCCTATAATCTTGGAGTCCCCTGCATTTGCAGTTTTAATTCAGAACAGGCCTCCATTTTGCATTTCTGAGCACAAAAATAAAACAAAACAAAAAAACCCATTAACTTGGCTGCTGTCCTTTCATCAGAATTTCAGGTTTAAGTAACCTTGGTTCTGATCATTTAATGAGTTATAAAAAGCAAAAATGGCTTTCTAAGAAGTATGCATTTCCACCATCACAAAACTACAAGAAAATCAAAGTGCCTTGTAATTCCCAAGTAAGTCCAATATTTTGTCTCAACTGATGGCTTGTCATGCTCAGATCATGAGCTGAGGAAATATTTTTTAAAACACAGAATTTTTCATAATTATTGCTGTGTGGGAAAATCTATGTTGTTGTTACGACACCTGCACAACTACTTACTGATTTTTTTTTTTTTTTTCCAGGAATGTATTTAGTAAATCATTTTATTGCCTTTATATCTGCCTGAAATTAACTACTCTCATTTTACATGTTACAGGAACTTATTGCGCAAATCATACAAATCAAGTACAGTCAAATCATCCAGGAAGAAAAAAAAAAAAAAAAAAAAGAATAAAATAAACTTCCCAGAAACAGCCATTGCAAACTGGTTTGTGACTGTTTTAAAAAAATTCCTAAATACTGTATCTGTCTCACCAGGTACTACAGAACTTATTTTGGCACAGTTAACACTATAATTTCACTAAAAATAAAGTGCTTTTTTAAAAGGAATTTTCTTATCTGTTTTCATTCATTTTTTTTTTCTTCATTCATTTTTTTTTTCTTCCTGGGAACTTAAAATACAACAAATGAGCAGGCAAATTGTTTCTCAGAGACTTGCACTGGGCCCTAATGGTACAGGTTGTTATAAAGTGCATAATATCACATTACATAGGGCTGAGAAGATCTCATGTGTAAAGCATACCCTTGTCATGAGCTCTTAAGAACAAAGCCTTTTATGTTAGCTGTGCTGTTATGCAACTCAGTTCACAGGGAACCAGGTGTTAGAGCTCCTGGCTGGGGTGACGCACAGTCTGTATGGTGCTGGCTCACTGGGGATTAACTGAACCCTGCAGACCAGGGTCTGACTCCGTGATACTACACGTGTCTGATGATTTTCTGTAGCAACCTCTTAAGGGACAAGCAACAAACAGCTATACAGGGATCTCCAGCCCCATTCTAAGTGCACAAGCGTGGGGTGTGGTGGGCTCTCCCAGCACTACACAATACCTAGCCATGGTACCACTAGCAATGCTAGGTGTAAGATGGTGTAAGACTTAGGATAGTTGCTATTTCACCAGGCTTTGTCCTTGACCTGGGAGAGAGAAAATTTAGTCTGTATTCAGAGGCTAGACTTTAATGCCGTATTGATTCAGCATGGAGACCTACAGTGGTGTACACTGTGTGCATAAGGGTCTGGTTATTAGCAAAACTGACCCACAAGGAGGATTACATTAGGTTTATGGCCGGCGGAAGCTGAGCTCAGCGCTGCAGGTGGACGTTTCCCACGTGCGCCTGCAACAGGCAGTCCTCCTTCTCCTGCCCGCACAGATCCTCACGGCACCGCGGTGACAGGAAAGGGTCTCCCCAACAGGGACTGAGGGAGCACGCAGCTCTACCCGGCCCCGCCGTGAGTCGCCTCGGGGTGACGAACTCTGAAGTCCCGCACAATTTCATTCCACCGCATCCGGCCCTCCCGCACCATAACGAAGCACAAGAGCTGGGTGGACCTAGCAGTTGCGTCCGCTGTGCACGGAACAAGCGGCCCGCCCGGGCCTAGCGGCAGTAGGCCGCCCGCCCGCACGTAGGCGCCCCGCGCGCTGCCTTCCCCGGCGCCTCCCCCTGCCGAGCTCCCCTCCGGGCCGGCCCTGGCAGCCGCGTTCCCAGAGCTCTCTCCCGGACGCGTGAGAAGTCGTCCTCCCGGGCAGGGCCTGGCGGCGGCCCGGAACACGTCCCTCTCGCTCAGGCAATCGGCCGGGCTGCCCTGGGAGGAGGGCCTGCCGCGGGGACGCTGCCGGGCGGTAGCGGCGGCGTGCGTGGCCCGGGGTGGTGGGGAGCTTGGGCTGCGCACTCATCGCACGTCTCCTGTTCAGTGTTACCGCCCCGAGGCAGTGTGCAACATGCGAGTAGTGGCTCTGATCAGGTAACGGCCAGCGACGTGCTGGCGGCAGAGCAGGGCGCAGCGGGGGAGAGACTGCGGGGCGTGGTGCCACCAGCGCCGCCCGAGCGTTCCCCCGAGCTGCTCCGCGCCCCTGCCCGGCGGATGGGAGGGTCCGGCAGGGCAGGGTGAGCAGAGCCTTTCCCCCCCGCTCCCCCCCCCAACCACGTGCTGGCCAAGGCTGCCGCGCTGCTAATGCCGTGCTGTCGGGAACTGCGAACATTACCGGTCTGTAAAAGAAAAGAAAAGAAAAATATAGTTCAAGACCCTTCCGCTGATTGCTGCCCGCCCCTTATCTCGGTCAGCTCCTGTTTCGTGAGTGGGGCCTTTGCCAAGACCATGCAGTTAGGGCAGTTCTGCTCACTTTTAGTTCAATTTTCAAGGTTATTTTTTGTTTGCCGTCCAAATACTTTATGATCTCTCACGGTAGACTTCCTAGCGTGCCTTCCAAGAGGCATTTCGTTTTGCTCGTTTAAAAAAAAGATGGGAGCTCCCCATTAAAGTAGCTATGGTTTGGCTCAGCCCTATCTGTGAGGTGTTTTATTTGCTTCTCATGTCGTCCTGCTGCTTTTGTCCGTTTCCACGGTTGTTGTACTGTAAATAATACTTTTTTTTTTTTTTTTTTTTTTTTTTTTTGTAGTTTCAAAAAGAGATGAGTGTTATTTTGCTTTTCTAGCAGTCTAATTGTTTTCTTGAAAAATAACAATTAGAAGACAGCAAGCTGAGGAACCTATACGTGGGAACTGCTTATATAGGATGCAAGCAGTGTGTTTTTATTTTTGGGTGCATTAACTTTACCAAAGTTCTAATATTTAGTGTGTTAAATTCTCTCAGGCAATGTCTGATGTCAGACCCCTCTGAAGTTGTTATTTGGCCACAACAATTACAAATCATTGAAATACTACCCAAAGAGGAAAAAATGGAACACCAAATGGTATCTGTGCTTCTCAAGATCTGCTTAAATAATGACAGGGAGAATCAACTTCAGTGCTTTTTCGTGTTTTAGAGATAAGTTTCTGTCTCCCAGGTTTATTTATTTTGATATTCTCTGAAGAGAGGAATGTGTTAAATGGCAGGATGAAATAAAATCCTAAAACAGGTTTGTAACACAATTGCTATTTTTATGGGCAATTTACAAGGATGGATTTAGTTTCAGTAATAGTTTTAAGAAGAATTTTAAAGAGACATCAAAGTGTCTAAAATCTTTGTAACAGAGCTAGCCTCGAAGATCAGAGGGAGAAAAAGTATTTGAAAAGTGCTTCTTACTTTTGGAAAGGTCAGGATTATGTATAAAACTACTTTAGCCTGTTTCTTTTTGTTCTAAAATGTTGGCCACACTTAAAGTTGATAGTCTTGCACTAAGGTGATATTTATGGGCTAAGCCCTGTATTGTGTTTTGTGCTAAATCATAGACGTTTTAAAGCCAGTCTTCTAACTGAAATATATATTTTTTTCAATTCTTTAATTCTTGTGGAATTTTCTTAGTGTAAATGGTTACATTTGTTGATAGAAGGATTTTTTTTTTTTTTTTCCTAGAAGTCTTTTATGGATCTGTGCCTTTATGATTACCTTATTTTTTCTTCTGGTATTTTGTTAGTTTATAGTCCTACCTGTTAATGGACCTGGAGCACTGTTAAACCTAAGCCTGGGTGTGGCCAGCATCATTCAGTGTCCTTCAAAAACTATGTGCTTTAATCTCTCTTGGATATTTTTTTTTCTTTTTTTTTTTTTTTTTTTTTTTTTTTCCTGTCACAAGCTGGGCTGGAACTGTGCTGAGTCCACCTTCCGCTTCCAGTATTGGCCTTCATTGGACCTAGCTGTCTTGTGTTTTACTGCTAGACTAGAAGGCCTTTTATGTAGGTAACATTTCCTTCTGTTTCTTTGGCATAGTTATTTTTTAGGGCCATGATAACCATAATACAGAAAATAAATAGGAGTATAGTACCATGTGATACAGCAAGCACTCTACAAATCTTCAATAAATGTGGGAAATCTGAATGTAGCCTCATCTTAAAATGATAACATTTAATACAATTCATGTTAATGAAATATTAAAATGAATTGTATTAAAAGATTAATAAATTTATTCTGGCGTCCTTCTTAATTTTAATTAGAAATGTTAATATTGAAACTCTGTGAATGGCAAAGGCAAAAATATCGACTGTCATTACTTGGCTTAAGTTGTATTTTGGAGTAGAAATCAGTGCCAGTAGTAGGCTTTTACTTTTTAGAATGGAATCATTCAGAAATAAAAGAGCCTTTGTCTTATTATGAGACTGTTTAGCCTGAAATTTCACTTTATGAAGTGAATGCTAACTACATTTTCAAGCTATCAAGCACAGTATTCAGAATTAATGAATACGTCTTTTAATGCTCTTTTATCCATATATAGATCAGAAGAATGTTGTAGGAATGGTTGAGAATAATGTTAGGTACAGATGGACCCTAAAATTAGAAATCTGTTTATCATATTTATAACACTGAAACATA